ATGTGTATAAGAGACAGGCTGTGGGGTGTCCCTGTGGGGAGGCTCTGGGGACAGGCATCCCCCTGGGGTGCTGTGTGGGGAAGGGCACAGCCGTGGGGCGCAGGGGTGCCTGTCACCGGGGCTGGAGGCAGGCGGGCGAGTTTCGGTTGGAGGCAGATGAGGGGCAGCTCACGCCACTGCTGCGGGGTGAGGCGGGGTCCCTGCCCGGGGCCTCCCTCCCGGCGGGGTGGCCGTGGTACATGCAGGGGAGCTCTGGGAGGCGCTGGCTGGTGGGACACGGGGTGCTTGGCTTCAGGCAAAGGGGACGTGGTGAGCTGCTTCCCCTTTGCAGGGGCTCGGGGAGGCGCTGGGGCTCGGGCGCAATGCTCAGGGGATGGCAGGACCCGCTGCAGGGGGGAGCAAGCTGAGAGGAGACAGGAGCAGATGATTTGGGAAACTTTTGGAGTACACGCCCAGGACTTGGAGCGTGGGGACTCTGGGGGACATTCCCCCACCTCGGGAACACAGCCAAGGCCTGGGAAGAGAGGAGGACCACGAGGAGGTGGCCCTGACTGCAGAGAATGAAGGTGTGACCTAGCTGCTGCACAGGCACACACCCTCTCTAACCCGCTTTTTGTGTCCACCAAAGTCCTGGCTGCGCTGATTAATGGTTGTGTAATTAGAGTTAAAGTCTGCAGGAATTCTGAGAGCTGCGGCATTCGCTTGCTGTGGAGGGAGGTGGAGGACGCTGCAGGTGGCCTTTCCTCCTCTGTCCCCACCTTGTGCGGTTGCAGCACCAGGTCCCCCAGCCTGCGGCTGGCCAAGGCTGGCGCGGTCAGAGGCAGGTACTGGTGGGGGTTCCATCTGCAGGACTCCAGGGCCTGAGGACAGCCACCATATCTTCTTCTGAAATTCAGATGGCAAATATCTGTGCTTTGTTTCCTGAAGAAATTTCCTGTATATACAGAAGTATTAAAATTCATTACTTGGATGTTTCTTGGTCCAAAATCTGGATTGTAATTATCTTGAAATTACTGAAAGATGAGCCACAAACAATAATTGTTGAAGCAAGGATTTGGTATTGGTGTGTAAACCTACTAAAGGAGGTTGCCTCCTGAAGTCTCAAAAGACTCTGTTGTTAAGCCCTAAAAATGAAACACGATGCAAAGCAACACAGAAGTCAGGACAGAATGACTGCCCATCTTTGTACTTTTTTGTCCCTGAGCAGGCTCCAAATCTTCTCTGATATTCTGCATAAACCCCACTCTTGCTGCTTTGCTAACTACAGCAGAGACTTTGTCGCATGCCAGGACACTCAGTGCCTCGGGGTTATGGTGTACCCAGAAGGGCTGTGAATTCACAAAGGTCTTGCCAGCAGTTTCTCTTTTTTTGTGTGTTTCGTAGCAGTACTGCCTAGGTGATCACACTGCACTTTCAGTTGTGGTGGTGTTAGAATTATCTTAAGCCATTTGGGACCTTGTTGGTGAAAAGCAGCATCTTTTCATTGATTGCAGGACACTGGTACCAGATCTTCTGCATGCTTGAGCTCTGCTTGAGAAAATGTTATCAGCCTGCCTGTAGCAGTACGGGAGGCAAGGCTTGGGGGGTTGTTTTAGCCAGTATAGCAAAGGTCTGGGTCTGGATGCTGTTGAACCACTGTGTGGCACTGGCTGAACTGGAATCCCTTTGATACATTCACGTGGCTATTAATATGCTGAAGGATAGCTGCTTTTGCTCAATCGGAGTAGCTGAAGCAGTCTATGTCGTGAGTGTAGACAGGGTTCTGCCTGCCAGATCCTGCAGTAACCTTTATGAGGGGCTTTAGAGCTTAGACTATCTAGATAGAGCAGATACTGACTGTGGGGAGAGTCAGAGTCTTCTCTGGAGGTGAGCAGGCTGGGTCACAGCCATTTGCGCTCAGTTTTTAAGCAGGTGCTCTCAGTCTGGAGATTGGGGTAGAGCTGGGATTGGCAAGCCTGGGAGTGAAGTTGCCTTGGAGATTGGGCAAGATTTTTAAGCATGGATTGGAAAGAGATCCTGATCTCTCCCAGTAATTATGTACCAGTTAACCCTCATCTTGTAAACAGGCTTTCATCAGTTTCTCCAGGAGCCTGTGATGAGTCTTCTGTCATTCACCTCTTCTGAGTCTTTTTGTCTACAGCAGCTCTCTACAGGGATACACACCAGTAAGGTTAATTGTAAACTGGGTTGGAGGTGGGAGAGGACAGGGGGAAAAGGATTATCTTCTCCCCATGACTGAAGAATAGGGGATCCTTTGGGTACTTTAGAGCGTGGCAGGGGAATTATCTGAAGCGACAGGACTTCTTCCTTTTCTCTGAGGCTCTCGCTTATGTGCTGTCCATGTGTCAAGGCAATTCTCTGCAGACAACTGGCAGAGTGCAAAGTTTAGTAGTATTTGCCTGCAGATGAGTCAGCAGAAGAGAAATGGCTTGCTCCTGTAAAGTGAAGTGATCTTGTAGGCAAAGCAGCACATGACAGTCACATCTGACTGCTAACGCCTTCTAAGTTTAGAGGGATGACAGGGCAACCCGGGAGCAGGCATTGCCACCCGGTGAGCCTGGGAGCTGTGGGTGTCAGAGGGGCCTCGCTGATCCAGTGTGTCAGTCTTGCACTGACTTGGATCTCGTGTGGGAAAAGCAGCAGCTTTGGGCTGGAGCATTTACTGAGTTGTTGCAGTCAGCTCATGTTTTGCATGCTCTTTGAGTTTAAGTAGCAGGATTTATGTTGCCTGGCACATAAATCTGCAAGTGAAAAGCAGTGAAAGTGGCAGAAGAAATCCTGCTACTGCATGTAGATCTGCAGATTATAATACTCTTCAAGAAACTCCTTGGGACAGAAAACTCAAAGAATACAGATGGGCCAGGTCCTCATGCCATCAGTGTCTTAGGGTGCAGAATATCTCATCTGCTTCTCTCATGTAGTGTGAGGCAGGCAGTCCTCTGACACCACTAAGGCTAAACAAAATATCTGTCCATGAAGATGCAGACAGTGAGATAAAGCTTTGGCTAAGCAAGAAGATTTGTTGCATCTTTCTGACCTTCTCCATCTGCCAGAGGTGTTAACTTTGGTGTTGCGGTTAAATTCCAGCTCAGATGATGGTGTAGTTAACTCATGCTAAGGGAGACGTTTTAAATTCCTTCCTTGCCTATATTTTTTTCTTTCTTTGTGGTAATCAATGCTTGTCCTTCTTCCTTCCCAGAAGTGGCTGTGTTTCAGTGGGAAATGACTTGACCTTTGTAGTATTACTCTCCACAAAGTGCTGGATGATTTCTGAAGGCTATTATTGCCACCGTTTAAAGAAAATTCCTATTTCTCCCTTCGACTACTTCTCCTCCTTCATTC